ATAATAAGTTGTTTATATGACGGTATAAATCACACTCTGCTTCTCATAACTCTGCTGTATTTAATGTCCTTAATGCTCACATTATATCAGCAGCTGCAGCGCTGCTCCGTGATGCATTTCAGAATACAACTCTGATTTGTTTACTATTTATTTACGGCTCCATATATATATATTATTACTTTGCCTGAGTCTCTGTAGGATGGATGCTCAGTTTGCCGAGTCAGCGGGTCATTATCGTTAGTTATTGATAACACAGTGTGACTCACTGAATCACACACACACACACACACACACACACACACACAAACGTTGTCTCCACATTAAAAGACTTTTCACACACACTAATTAACATAATAAACAGAGAAGCAGTGTGTGTGTGTGTGTGTGTGTGTGTTCCAATCCAACAACTGCTAGATAATGATGTTTTCCTCAGTGTGACAACAATGATTCTAACTAACACACACACACACACACACACACACACACACGGGCAAGTATACAATGAAGTGAATTGCAGTGGATGATAGATCAACGCATTACGCACCGTTTGAAGCCGTTATCTTCCTCATTCTTTAATGATTTTAAAAGCAACGACATGCCTTTAAAGTTTCTATAATACACTTATTTATCTTTTCTTTTACAAAATGGCAGGTCGGGAAGCTTTTTTAATTTACTTTTCATGGCCCACATGTCCTTACGTAGCCAAAATGAGAAAGCAGAGCAGACAACCCAGGGGGGCGCCAAAGATCACAGGGGGGGCGCCAGGCCTCAGATGATTTGAGGCCAAATATCATATTTATATATTTTTTTTATTTATTTTTTTACATATAATTGTAAGGCAATACATGATTGTCACTAAAAGCCTTGTCTCTACATTACAATAACATATAAAAAATAATTGATTAATTAATTTGAATACAAATTCAAGTTAGTATTAAAGGCATAAAAAGACAGAAATGTATAATTCTTTCTTTAATAGAAATGTTTCTTCTGCCCGTAAAGTGTCCAAACCGGGCTTGTCTGTATAAGCGCATTTTTAAAACATAGTCATTGTCCATGCCGGTTTCAGTTGGATTATTTGTCACAGTTGTTCTGATCAGATCGGTCTCCTCCATTTTGTAGATTATTTACGATTTTTGAATCCACATAAACACATCGGCAAAATCCGGCTTACTTTGATTATGTGTTTTAAACTGTTTAATCCCTTTGTGAATTGTTTCCACTTGTGCCGTCCTTTAATTTCTTCCTTCAGCGGTAATCAAAATAAATTAATCCTGAGTCCAATAACCATCAAAGTCACTCCAATAGTGCTCCTTAATTACGCTTTCATCCTCCTTTAACAACATACTTCACTTTCATCCAGTTTGTGACAGTAGTTGTAGCATTTTGAGACTTTGAAACTTGAATTACCGCTGTTTCCCCCCCCCCCTTGTGTGTAGGGGAGGCGGGGGGGGGGCGCACCTTCCAACAGGAGTCATTTGGGGGGGCTCTTGGGAAAAAAGGTTGGGAATCACTGCGCTGAAGGAACTACATCGCTTCCTTCTGTCGTATATTTGTGCAGGTTTAGGGTCTGCACAAGCTACCAATCCTGCTGTGAATTCACCCTTCATCCATCCATCCATCTTCTCCCGCTTATCCGTGGTCGGGTCGCGGGGGTAGCAGTTCCAGCAGAGAGCCCCAAACGTTCCTTTCCCCTCATGAACCAGCTCTGACTGGGGGATCCCAAGGCGCTCCCAGGCCAGCCAAGAGATATAATCCCTCCACCTGGTCCTAGGTCTACCCCTTGGTCTCTTCCCAGCTGGACGTGCCTGGAACACCTCCCTAGGGGGAGGCGCCCAGGTGGCATCCTAACTAGGTGCCCGAACCACCTCAACTGGCTCCTTTCGACGCGAAGGAGGAGCGGCTCAACTCCGAGTCCCTCCCTGATGACCGAACTTCTCACCTTATCCCTAAGGGAGACACCAGCCACCCTGCGGAGAAAACCCATCTCGGCCGCTTGTATCCGCGATCTCGTTCTTTCGGTCATGACCCATCCTTCATGACCATAGGTGAGGGTAGGAACGAAAATGGCCCGGTAGACAGAGAGCATTGCCTTCTGGCTCAGCTCCCTTTTCGTCACAACGGTGCGGTAAAGCGACTGCAGTACCGGTCCCGCTGCTCCGATTCTCCGGCCCATCTCACGCTCCATTGTTCCCTCACTCGAGAACAAGACCCCGAGATACTTGAACTCCTTCCCTTGGGGTAAGGACTCATTCCCTACCCTTCAGTGTAATAATAATACATTTGATTTAAGGCGCCTTTCATAACACCCAAGGACATCGTACAATTTGTTAAATATTCGAAGAGGTAAGAGCAACAGAACATGATAAAAACACAAACATACCATCATGGAGAAGACAATTAAAGGGGAGACAGATGATAGGGAGCACTACAGAGAGAAATACAGTCCAGACACATGAATCAATGCCTACATGTCTCTCTCTCTCTCTCTCTCTCTCTCTCTCTCTCTCTCTCTCTCTCTCTCTCTCTCTCTGTCTCTGTCTCTGTCTCTGTCTCTGTCTCTGTCTCTGTCTCTGTCTCTCTCTCTCTCTCTCTCTCTCTCTCTCTCTCTCTCTCTCTCTGTCTCTGTCTCTCTCTCTCTCTGTGTCTCTGTCTCCGTCTCTGTCTCTCTCTCTCTCTGTCTCTCTCTCTCTCAGACTCTGATGTGCATCCCTCCGGAGGGTGAGGCGGGGACCGAGGTGCCGGTGAAGGTGTTGAACTGCGACACGGTGACGCAGGTCAAGGACAAGCTGCTGGACGCCGTGTACAAAGGGGTTTCGTTCTCTCAGAGACCGCAGGCCGACGACATGGACCTCGGTAACTCCACACACACACACACACATTTTGCAGCTGATGATAGATCAACACATTACGCACGACATATGCATAACGACATGTTAAAGGATCTGCTGTGGTTTAAATATGAAATAAAGAGGCCCTATTATACGTTTTGGGAGGGTTGTCCTTTTCCTGTAGTGTGTAATATAGGTTTGTGTGCATGTAAATGGTCTGCAAAGGCTAAAAAAGCCCATTTGCAAAGACGAAATATTGAAAAGAAATGAATATTTTAAGTCAAGATAAACTAGAGTATGTTCATAATGAAGGAACACACAAGCCAGTGCAACAGTGTGAATCTTTGATGTGTTGTCCTATGTTGACCAGGCTTTGCACATGAGGTCAAACATTCAATACAACTGTTAATATAAACACACTGCGACAGTAGTAATGAAATATCTAGAGTTGATAGAAAACACAAACAAAATATACAGAAAATGTTAGAATATTCTTGATTAGAGCAAGATACTACTAATGAAATATAAACAAGGATACCATACACATATGCTAAGTGGTATCATATTTAAATGCAATGTTCATTATGCATTCATTCTCACATATCTACCTCTTACTGTTTCGTCTGTACAATACGCAGTTTTGCTTGGATGCTCGATGGCATTTTGTTGTCTCGTACTTCTCGTGCATTGAATATAAAAACTGAATTTATTAAGTCACGTGACGTATTTCTGTGTTCTTGTTGTCAGAGTGGCGTCAGGGCCGGCTGACCAGGATCATCCTGCAGGACGAAGACGTGACCACCAAGATCGAGAGCGACTGGAAGAGGCTGAACACACTGGCACACTACCAGGTACACACACACACACACACACACACACACACACACACACACACACACACACACACACACGTATCACAGTACCAGAGAGGTTTGCAAAATACATTTGAGAAGTCTCGAAGAAGTGACAAGTCTGTAAGTCTGTAAGGAAAGAGCATTAAATTAGTTTTGAAAGTGTAAACTTTGGTTATTTAACTTGATGGGTTTAATCATTTAAATGCCTCGCAGATATTTAAAACTATCAGAGATTCAAATCTGCTCCCTCAGCTTTGCATGCTGGGATATCTGACGGACTGACAATTTGAGATTAAAGGAAAGGGAGTTGAAAAGTCAAACATTAAACATGAATGCAATGCAGGGCTATATTACATGTTGTACTTAATGCAAACTTCTCATCGTACAGGCATTACATATTCTTCTTCTGTCTGCAGTTAAAATAGAATATATCAGGTTTCTTTAAATGATCTTACATTTTGTCGAGTCTCTGAATATTGAAAATACATTTATGTGAAGACCTCTTTTACAAAGAATACAAATAAAAGAAATTAGCAAAAAAATGAAGGCTTTAAAGGTACATAAAACAATGGTAATTAATGAACCAATAACGAAAATAAAAGTAAATGAAAACAATTATATAATTACGAATATGTGTGTGCTTTTTTGTAATTATGAATGCATTGATTTGAAAACATTCATTATTAAATAAAAGAAAATATGAATAAATATTATAACTATAGATGAGTGTAACACCGACGTCACTTCCGGGCGAAAAGTAAGGCCCCGCCCACTTTTGGGGGAAACCAACGCTGTCATTTGAACGGAGGTCAATTCACATTCTGAAGTTTTTGCCAATCCGATCAGAAATGTTTGAAAACCGTGGATTTGTGGATCTTCAAAGAGCTCGATTACGATGACCAGTCAGGCAAACAATTACATTCAATCATTGGAAATCGACGATCGGCTCGATATGTGGTTAAATTAAAATCAGTAGGCGAGGCTGTAATCTCGCCAGCTGTTACTCTCATGAGCGAGGCGGAACATAATAGTTTTAACATGCCAACAAGCTGCTGTGTCGTTTATTGCACCTCAAACATTAGGTTACGTTTTTCTGGACTTCCTCTAAGAAGAAAGGACAGTAACAGAAGAGCTCTGTGGCTTCAGGCTCGATCGCCGTTCAAATGACAGCGTTGGTTTCCCCAAAAAGTGGGCGGGGCCGTAAAGTGCCGTAGATGTTACTCTCAGAATCGATCGCCAACCCGCGGCTCTCGAGCCGCATGCGGCTCTTTGCCTAGTTTCATGCGGCTCTTCAGTTCATATCGAATTGTATATGTGTGAGTTTGGGGGAGAGACACTGACTCCTGACTAGTGTTGCACGGTGTACCGATACTTGAAAGGTATACCGCGATACCCTGTCGTTAAAAACGTTACGATTCCTCCGTTTCATTAGTATCGGTACTTTAAGAATGACGGGGGAAAGTGCTCGGTGAGAAAGCGCCGTTTTTAATAAGAGCCGTGTGTGTTCAGCGCTCTGCTTCCACTCCCTGCACTGCAGCCGTGCCTGCAGTCCCGCCCCTCTCAAGCACGCTCTAAGTCCCTCCCCTCTCTCGTGCACGCGCTAGCTGCCAGAGCATGTGAGAAAGCGAGAAGCATGGCTGCAAAGTGGGAGTGCAGCTGCCGCTGCGCCTCGGCTTGTTGACAAAAAAGACGCCAGAAGCGAAATTTGGAAGTATTTGAGCTATATCTCTGACAGTGAGGGCAAGCCTACGGACACCACGAGGCCTGTCTGTAAGAAATGTATTAATTGTATTTAATAGGAAATCTTGTCATTTATTTAATTTATTGTTCTCATTGTTTAAAGTTTGTGTTATGGTTATGGTTCTGGTGTGAAATAAAGCACAATAATTACATTTAAGACTGTTTTTTAAGAAAAGTATCGAAAAATAATCGGAATCGCAATTCTTGACTTGGTATCGAAACCAAAATGTTGGTATCGTGACAACACTAGCTACTCCTGACAGTTAAACCTGATATTTAGTAGGTCTGTTAAGTATTAACGTAATTTGGCCGGTCAAAGTTGTTTGGGCTCGGATAAAATCGCTCCGTTACTTTCGTCCCGGCTCTCCCTACGTGTGTATGTGTGGTGTCATGTGTCAGTATGAGAGGATGACAGCGTGTCTAATTTTGATGTGGCCCAAGAGCCAATCACAATAATACCTGCGATGCAGTGAACCAATCACCTTTGAGGGGGGGAAACCTATCGTTGATTAAACACTATCCAGTGTTTCCCCTACCATTGTTTTGGAGGGGCGCTGCGCCCCGCCAACGGAGCCCCGCCCCCCCCCTGAAATTCAAGGTGTTTAAAAAATATATAATTTTTTTTTTTAAAATATATATAGCACCAAATTGCAAATAATCTATAACTACTGTCACTTTTCACATTGAACATGTGCTCTTTTATTAAATAAACTAAACGCTTTCATTTTAAGTTGTGAATTTAGTGTTTTTGACCCTAAGAAACACTGATGCATTAATCAATAACAATAATCCACAGCTCCTCTCTCTGCTCCAGAGGATTTAAAAAATATATATCCCAATGCCACAAAAATGCATCAGTGACGTGGTTGAAATCTTGTCTCCAGAAAACAAAAAAACGGAAACAAGCGGTATCAGTGCCTGTGTGTTTGATGTGGCTCTTTGCAGTAACATAGAAAAAATGTGGCTCTTAACCTCTGACTGGTTGGCCACCCCTGGCCTACTGCTATATTTAACCATATTTCGAGCCCGATTGTCGATTTCCAATAGCTTAATGTAATTGTTTGCCTGTCTGGCCATCGTAATCGGGTCAGAAGATCAGAAAATCCACGATTTTCTTACATTTCTGATCGGATTGGCAAAAACTTCAGAATTTGTATTGACCGCCGCTGTTTTCCCCCAAAAGTGGGCGGGGCCGTACTTTTTGCCCGTACATTTGTTTCTCTCATGTATAGTTATTTTTCACTTTTTTATCGTACGACAGAACTTCCCCGAGTGATTAAAGTGCAATACAAACCTCATCCTTATGTCTCAGGATTTACATTTCCTCCATAAGGAATGTCTGCTTTAACTCAGTCAGCATTATTGTCAAACCCTGTATATAAATGGCGGTTTAGGAGCAGATTAAAAGCTTTAAAACCTGAATATTTCCCCGCTGAATGGAGGCGAAGCTCTCTAAGTGAGTCCTGGCTCTTTATCAGCGCTGACATGTGGAGAGAGCGTCCAGATCCAGGGCGAGATACCAATCGACCGAGTTAGCAGACTGAATGGATAATTAGTCAGCTGATTGACACTGTGATTGGCTGATTGACTGATGCGTTGCTGTGTGTTGCCGTAGGTTACAGACGGCTCCCTGGTGGCGCTGGTCCAGAAGCAGGTTTCTGCGTACAACATCGCCAACTCCTTCACCTTCACCAGATCCCTGAGCAGATACGGTACAGCGTGCACACACACACACACACACACACACACACACACACACACACACACACACACACACACACACACACACACACAGTATCTGAGAGAGGATTACTGATGGATAAGTTTATCTCTTTGTTTCTGCAGAGTCGTTACTTCGAACATCCAGCAGTCCTGACAGTCTGAGATCCAGAGCGCCGATGATCACCCCGGACCAGGAGACAGGTACTGCAGCAGCAAGGTGTATTAGTGAAGGGCGTGACATTGACTGGGTTTAAATGAACAGTATACTCTTAGTTTAGGAGAAGACAATATCCCTAGTAAGCTGGCTAAAGAAATTGACTGTTTCCATTTGCATGCAGGAGGGCATACTTGATCGAATGTACAAAAACGAATCAATGCCCTCCACTTGGTATTCCTGTGTCGACGCCCTTTAAATAAACTTAACTTTTAATTAAATCGCATAACATCATTAAGAACTATGGAAAAGGAATTGTGAGAATACTTTTTCTCGTTAGAATTCTGACTTTTTTTCTGGGAATTCTTCTCAACTAAAAAGATAATGATTCACCTTTGGTCAGATCTATACAAAAAATCACACTAGGCTCTAATCCTCTTCAGTCTTTCAAATGTGATTTGGCATCTGACAAGCGACATGGCCTTTTTCCTAGGCACCTTAGCCTTTTAAACTGTTGGCTAGTTACAACAATAGACTTTATATATGATGATACAGTTATGCTGCGTTCACACCGGACGCGATGCGAATATTCGCTTCGCTCTAATCGCTCGAGTTTCACTGTGGCTGCCAGCTGTGTTTACTCGCATCATTCAAACAAGACACGCTCGGGGCTACAACTACAACAAAATGAACATATTTTACCGTGATTTAATTGTAATACACGTTTCTAATGATGTAACAACATACTGATACCGGTTAGTAAACACCATGACTTAATGCTTTTGACAAGTCTGCAGACAGACGGCAGGCGAAACACCTTTTCAAATGCGTGTTTTCTGAATGGAGATTGGCTAAGCTAACGTTGTATATGCTCCGACCGTCCACACTCACAACAACGGCATACAGACATAAATAAACCAGCGACTGTATTTTTTGTTTATACTTTTATTGTCATTACACAGTGGGCCTACTTACTATGTAACAACATGGTTTCTCTGCATTTTACCCATCCTAGTGTTAGGAGCAGTGTGCTGCCATTATGAACGGCGCCCGGGGAGCAGTGTAGGGAACGGTGCCTTGCTCAGGGACACCTCGGTAGCACTTGGTCTTGCCGGGACTTGAACTGGTAATCTTCCAGTTGCCAAGCCAAGTCCCTATCCACTTCACTACCACCGTATTCGCCATGACAGTCTGTGCTTTGTACTTGTAATCGCGCCGCGGCATTCGCATCCACCTCTTCATGCGCGCCGTCGGAGCGAATTTGTCTGTCCGCGTCTCTGCTTTGACTTTACATGTAATTGTGCCGCCCCAAAACATTGCATCGCGTCTGGTGTGAACGCAGCATGACAACGCACAATTCTCACTGTAACCATGCAAGAGGCTGTGTGTGTCATTAGTAGTATTGAGCCATACTTTATACAGTTTTCTGTAAAGTGTTTATTTTGTTTATTTTCAGGGACTAAACTGTGGCACCTGGTGAAGAATCACGAGCACAGCGATCAGAGGGAAGGAGACCGAGGCAGCAAGATGGTTTCTGAGATCTACCTGACCAGACTGCTGGCTACCAAGGTAATAACACAACAATAAATCATGATGTTGAAGCAAATTCACATATCTGTCTCTTTCTGTTTCCTAATTTCCTGTTGACTGTTAACTCGATAAAAAACAGAGACAAAGGGAAGACATTTAAGAAGCGGTGCGATGGATGTAATATGCCTGCCACAGTTTTCATGTACTGCAGTCTTTCATTTATTTATTTCTAACAATTGTTATATTGTATTGTATGTTTTACTCGTGCACTGTTTTGTTATATATCTTGGATTTGTATTATATCTTAACACAAACACATTTTGTTGTAGCATTGTTGAAAGGGTTATAAATACAATTCTTAATCAACATACAAAGACAAGAAGTGAAATAATGGAAAAATACCAAAAACAACTTGAGTTCCTGATGTTAAAATATCACACGTATTTTTCACATAGATGTTACCAAGCTACTGCTAACGTCTGTATAGCCATTCTGCTAACAATATCTAATAAGTAGTAAACACAAAGTATCAGATTATTAGTCCTGCAGATATTTGGTCAAAAACAAAAGCATTGCATATATTAAAATGTTAACAAGGTGAAAAGACCTTCAAAGATATTACAATTCACGGAAGTTGCCACCATGGAGGCTTTAATTAGTTATTATTTCAGTAATTGATGTATTTAGTCAATTGAAATGCGCCTGTTTAAATATTAACTCTGATGCTTTGGTCCTCCCACCACCAGGGGACGCTGCAGAAGTTTGTGGACGACCTGTTTGAGACAGTGTTCAGCACCGCCCACCGGGGATCTGCTCTCCCATTGGCTATCAAATATATGTTCGACTTCCTGGACGAGCAGGCGGACAAACGACAGATCACAGACCCGGACGTCCGACACACCTGGAAGAGCAACTGGTGAGAGGAGATAAAAAAACAGTAAAAGGTTTTTATTAAAAAAATATCCCTGGTCCCCGGCTTGAGCTTCAACCTCAGGATCCATGTATCTGTGATCCTCTCCAGAATGGAATTAGTCATCACATACAGAGCATCAACTAGTTCCTGAGCAGTGTCCTTCACATGCTGATATCCAAGAGAGGGAGTTACACAGTCACAAGATGGAGGAACAGAAAGCAGTATTCAATGTTTACTTCAGATCAGCTCCACGTCAGAAATGAGCATGCTTGATGTCTCTCTCCATAGAGGCTGAATCATCATGTTAATCACATAGCTATCATATGCCTCAAACAGTCCTGATGCTCTTCTAGGTAATCACACATCCTGTCATGTTCACAGCTACAGTTGGGATACCTTTGTTATCATGTTACTCTCATGTTGGAAGAGGACATTCAGTATTTTCCCAACAGTTTTCCTACAAGATGTTGACAAAAGCACCAAAAGATTTAAACAATGTTATCTTTGTCTCTGTAGCCTTCCTCTCAGGTTCTGGGTGAACGTGATAAAGAACCCTCAGTTTGTGTTCGACATCCATAAGAGCAGCATCACGGACGCCTGTCTGTCGGTCGTCGCCCAGACCTTCATGGACTCCTGCTCGACGTCCGAACATCGGCTCGGAAAAGACTCTCCATCCAACAAGCTGCTTTACGCTAAAGACATCCCCAACTACAAGAGCTGGGTGGAGAGGTAGCTAGCATGCCAATGAGATCATTAACTGTAATACACAATGTAATAATAGCATGGATGCATAAGAACTGGATGCAAAGGCAGCTTTCATGCTAACTAGTTAATAACTCCACAGGAAATGAATGCAAAGGTAGCTAGCTTGATAACCAGCTAATATTCTGTAATATACAATGTAATGAAAGCATGGATAGGTAGCTAATATGCTAACCAGTTAAGAATTCTAGCTAAAATAATTGTAATGCACACATAAGAACTGGATACAAAGGAAGCTTTTATGCTAACTAGTTAATAACTCCAGAATAATTGAATGCAGAGGCAGCTAGCATGCTAACCAAACAACAGAAACCAGATGGATACTTAGCTTACGTGCTAATTACCTAAACTACAACAACAGCAAGCGATCTAACCGTCATCAAGCTGTTACATAAACACAAACAATATACAACTACAAAACTGAGTGCAATCTCAGCTAACATGCTAAATAAGGAGCTACATGAAGAGGTAGCTGACCTGCTAACTAGTTGATGAAACAACTTTTTAGACACATAAATGAAAATAATCAGTGTTGACGACTTATAATGAAATTGCTTGTTAGGGCAGAAATACGTTACAAATGTTTACAAATTCAGTACTGGAGTCTTGGGTAATTCTCTGGGAAGATAAACAAAAGAAACGCTTGTTGACATAATTAGAAACAAGTTTAAAGTTATTGACCTCCATGTGTGTGTCCTGCAGGTACTACAGGGATATTGCGAAGATGCCCAGCATCAGTGATCAGGACATGGACGCCTACCTGGTGGAGCAGTCCCGTCTGCACGGCACCGAGTTCAACACACTGAGCGCACTCAGTGAGCTCTACTTCTACATCAACAAGTACAAGGAAGAGGTGAGAGGGAGGGCTTTTACTTCTTTATGTCATTAACAATGTTAGGCATCAGCGTCATGAGTACATGTTAGATGGTAATGCTGCATGTAAACTGAATCAGACGACATGGCTCTACTTGTTTTTTGGTTTTTATTAGCAAATGTTCTGAATAGTACCTGGTACGTTTCTTGGTAACACCCTGGTCGAATTAAGTGATTTGATACTAGATGTTGGAGTTAAAACACTTCAGACCAACTTAAATGGTCTAGAATCTTGAAGAAATCCTAGCGTCAATAGTCGTTTTTTATTCAAATGAACCAGATTTAATCAGTGATGTTATTTAGTTGACATATTTAGTTAAGTCCTTATAATAGTTGTAGGTCCTTGTTTAATCTGTTTTGTCTTTTCTCTGTCTCTGCAGATCCTGACAGCGTTGGATCGGGACGGGTACTGTCGCAAACACAAACTGAGGCACAAACTGGAGCAAGCCATCAACCTGATGTCTGGGAGCAGCTGAGAGGAGAGAATGGACTGAAGGACTGATGGAAGGATTGGGGGGTGGGGAAGAAGAATGGAGGAGGGGGAAGTGAAGACATTTTGTTTTTCTGAACTGTCTAAACAGTCAGCTGAACTGCTCAGTGTCGGACCGAATGACAGCCACAGCTTCGGCCCTTGAGCAATCAATCCATCAGCAATGTATTTCTCGATTGATTGATTGATTGATTGATTGATTGATTGATTGGAAGACTGATTACCTGGATGGCTGGGACCCCAACTATCTCCGTTTGGTGGGTTTTGGGGTTGAAAAATCAGTGTCCAAACCGATTTGGATACATTTACAACATGACTTCAACGTGGAATGGAGTCATTTTGGGTCGAAAACGATGCAAGATGCATCTGTCGGTTTGAATTTTCGATTTAAATTCACTGCAGGTTGTAAGCAGGGATCAAAGCAAAAGGGGAAAGGCTGTGGAAAGACATGGAAACTAAGGACTAAGTTAGGTTTCACCAAACAACGGATGTGACATGAGGACTTATCGACCTGACATCAGGATTCCCAGCCTGGTTGGGAAAATTCTAGATGCTAAGTTGAAAAGCAATAGGTCTAGTCAAGTTTCTGGGCTTCACCTTCAAAGCTTGTTCTGGTCCAAAGGATCAGGAAACTAGGCTGATCGTCAAGGGGTCATGGTAAAATCGCATAAGCCTCATCGTAGTCCAGACGAATCCGGGCTAAATGTCAAAAGGTCAAGTCAAGGCTCACTGCAGAAGTCCGAAGCCTCGTTACTGATGTCGTGAATCCTTAGCCTTGAATGGTAGGAATCTGATTCACTTTAAGAAGTTCAGGTCAACCGTCAAGGAAGGAATCGTCAAAGTCAAACTTGTTGTTTCAAGCTTTAACGAAGGGGAAGGAAGCAAATAAACTAATGTCCCTATAACTGATAACTTCAGTTTACCTTGGAAAAACTGCGCAGTCTCCAAAGACGTGAATTCACGGTGCAAAATAACAGGAATTCATCTTTGGAGATAAGGAACCAATGAGCCGGGACACTTTGACTTGACCTTGGACTGTTCGGCCAAGCCTCGTCAGGATCTAGGAGTTTCGAAGTTGCTGTATAACCACCCAATGTTTTCTCTGGACAATCACTCTTTACCACAGCACACTGAGCCCAATGCCTACCGACCGCCAGTACCTGTGTCCATAATCCCGTCCCTTTCCTTTTCCTTTCCTTCATCCTCAACTCTTAGTACTTTACCCTTTCCTTCGTTTTGTCTTCTTCTCTATCTTCCCTTCTCCCTCCATTCTGACTAGTTCCCTCTTTCACCCCACTTTTTAATTTCTCTTCCCCCTTCCAACCCCTCTCTGTCATTGGTCAGTGATGCTGGCCTCTGGTCATCCTATTGGCCAGGAAGACTCTTTAGTAATGTACTGCCCGACCAATCAAGACTGTGGAATTCGCCAGAATCATGAAAAGTGAATATATAAGAAATTAATCCAGAATTACGTTTTGAATACATTCCAGCACAGGCACACAGGCAAGGTCTGTAAATAAGCAGGTTGACTCGCTAATTCTTCGCTAAAACAGAAGAACTTCTGACTGACCGACACTTTTTCAGGACCAGAACAACCTGGATATTTGGGTTCTGGATTCAGCACCAGTCGGTACACTTTGACGCTGGTTGGTGCAGAACGCTTTATTGTCGGACCTTGCACATACACCCACATACAGCCATGCTTTACAGCGCCACGCTAACCGTGCCCAGGGGGAAATACTGTGCAGAGCTACAAGCCCAGTGCCATGTAAAGACCGGACCGGATCACGTCAGAACTGGACCGGACTTGGACCAAACCCGGATCAAAAACAACCTGGAGTTTTAACCCGGACCGTAACTCAAGAACTTTGAAGACTTGTGGCCATAATTGTAAACAAACAAAAAAAAAAAAGAAAGATGATAATAATAATAATAATGATGATAAAGTATAAAAGTTAAAAAAGAATACAAAAAGAAAGGACAAAAAAGAAATATTGAAATGTTAACATGTAATAAGAACTTTGTGGATTTGACAGTATGGATTTTAAGGAGCTGAACTTGTATAGAGCTGAACATTATGCTACATCAGAGTCTGGAGAAAGAGAGACAGCCAGGAGACAGAACAATGGATCAAACCGGACTGAACAGAATCAAACCGGATTGTTACCGGACTGAACTTGAAGGAACTGAATATCTGCTCTGAATGTCAACGTTGGACGAACCAACTGGACTTTTTGGTACTTTCTTTTACCGAATGGGATGTTTGTTTGAACCGATCAGAGCAGTGTTGGATGGAGGGTTAGTTTGGAGGGTTTGACGTTGCATGTGTCGCCTATAATGGAGTCTTTGTTTTGATGATTTCTCGTTCATCCTAGAGGCGAATGAGGGCGCTTTCACACTGTCTGCCAATCCTACAAATGTTTACCTTGAAACTTGCAAATGTTTTCTGCAGATGGGGGAATTGTACCTCAGTCCAACCATCTTGATGCTCGTGAACAAATACACATACGGAGGATTATACGTAACGCAAAAAACTGACTACAGTGTAAAACGCTCTTATTCTCTGACTGAAGGATGGTTGGATTGTTGGATAGAGGACTTTCAAACCTGGCAACGCTGCACCCCTTCAACCTTGTGTTTCTGTGGTAGAACATTTTCGCTTCACACAACTTATATTTATTGTTCAGGGTTTTATTTTGGGGTCAACATTTGTCAAAAGTAAAGTTTAACAATGATAATGTACCTTTTTGAGAACTCACAGTTTCTGCTCAACGGGGCAGTTTGAGTCGCCCAAAAGGTTTCTTTAAATACATTTTATTCACGTGAAATTATGCAGCATAGGATTCAAATGGCAAGGCAATATGTCATGTGCAACGAGGCGGGCTACCAGTACATTTCTTGAAATGACAAAGCCTGATTTTATTTCAGAATAATCCAAACGTTTGGTTCAAAAATGGGAATCTGTGGGAAGTGCAAACATAAATCGTTGAATAATTGACCAATCTTTGTGCATGGTTTGCCAAGCCATGAATATTTCCACATTAATTACTTAATGTTTCTCACCACATGACCTCCTCTGAAGAAATGTGAACCATCTCTAGTGAAGGCGTTAAAAGCACCATCAGACTCGTTGGTTGATGTGTGAAAATGTTCCACCACATCGTCTGTCTTTTGGCTCTCTGCGACGCCATAAAGCTACAAAGCACCTTGTTTTTTCATTTTCTTGCTGTTGTTTCACTGTCGTTTGAACATTCTGGGGCCAAAACGACCCGAATGAAGAAGAAGAAGAGAAGGATTATGGAGGAAGGGTCCTGAAAAATAAGACTGCCTTTTAAGATGATTAATTATAGAACAGGGAGGGAAGCCACTACCATACCAATACCACTGTTCACCCAGTGTGTGTGTGTGTGTGTGTGTGTGTGTGTGTGTGTGTGTGTGTGTGTGTGGTGTGTGTGTGTGTGTGTGTGTGGTGTGTGTGTGGTGTGTGTGTGTGTGTGTGTGTGTGTGTGTGTGTGTGGTGTGTGTGTGTGTGTGTGTGTGTGTGTGTGTGTGTGTGTGTGTGTGTGTGTGTGTGTGTGTGTGTGTGTGTGTGTGTGTGTGTGTGTGTGTGTGTGTGTGTTGTGTGGTTGTGCCGTGTGGCCGTGTGGCCGTGTGGCCGTGTGTGTGTGTGGCCTGGCATTACTATACTTGTGGGGACCTAAATCTGTTTACACAGTCACGTGTGGGGACTCGCCTCCCTTATGGGGACAAAATTGGAGGTCCCCATGAGAGGAATCATTAGGGTAAGGGTTCGGGTTAGGCATGTGTTGGTTATGGTTAAGGTTAGGATAAGTCTCCAGGAAATGCATGTAAGTCAATGTAATGTCCCCTGAAGTGATGTATACATGGTATGTGTGTGTGTGTGTGTTATCCTGCTGCTGCTGCAGTGGAAACTCAACCGTTAAATCACTGATGGTATCTGCAGCTCAATTAAAAATATTTTTTCTTTACAGTCGCACCGTTTAAATCGGACGATCGGTATCTTCAAAGCTTTCCAAATCTCAGATGGGATCTTCGGTGTCCTTTTTAAAAATGGTTTTAAATAAAAAATCTCAGATCGCCCTTTAAACCCAAAGTTGCCAAACACGTTTTTGTTCTCGGCGCCATTTTGATAAAAATATTGCCTTTTTTTCTGTATAGGATGATCTGTGAGTTTAGAGGAAGAGAGGAGTGTCTCTCAGCATGCAGGAGGAGAAACGAGAGAAAATCCCAAGAGGAAAACGTAAAGAAAAGGGAGGATGCATAGGAAACGCCTGCTGCATGCTGAGAAGTGAGGAAGAGGAGCGTGGAAAATAAATAATTACTATTTAAATGCAGAGAGGAGAGGAAGAAGAAGAAGGGCCGAAAGGTGAAGCAGAGGAGCTAAAACAGATCAATTGCAGAGAGGAGAAATAAATATTAGAGTATAACACGGGAGGATCAGGATGAAAAGAGGAGGTCAGGTTCTCTTTTTGCATGCTAAAGTGAGAGGAAGGAGGAGGAGATGCAGTGTGAATACTGAGAGCAGGAGAGAGGGAGAATACTGATCAGGGAGGAGAAAGACTGAGGCAACGTCATCCATCAAAACCGGCCGAGAAAGGAAAAGGTCTCGGAGAGGAGGGAGGAGAGAAAACACTCCCAGTGCAGAGAGGGAGGAAGGAGAAACGTCTCAGTCAGGCCTCAGATCAACTCAGAATATCCTTTAAAGAATGTCTTTTTAATGAGTTCAAAACATATCAGGTTTAAAGAAGCAAAACAACATGAAAGGCGGATTTCTGACAAAACATCACAACCACAAAAAAGCTCAAATAAACGGTTCTATTGTGAAGGTTTCCATCCATTGCATCCGAACATGTTTTGGATGATTGTCTGATTTCATTAACTCAGAGACAAGTCCTGATAAATGAAAGATGGTGCAGGATTCACTTCTCAAACGGCAGCAGTGGCCAGAAGATATGTTCAGAACGCTGCTGCTATTGATCCGCATTTTCAACCCCTAATATGTTTTTGCTACCACCAACATTCAGAGAAAACTGCCAACTTATAAGAGCATGAACATTTGACTTGTTATCATTGACATCATTTGGTAAAGAAAAGGCAAGGACAACATCGAAAATCAACATCCACTTACTTACTTATGATCAGATAGTTTAAATATGTTCAGTTTTATTAAGATTTCTTGCAGCAAATTAAAGTTAAATCAATTTGTTTTGTTTGTAACCCTTTCTCAAATGAAGGTGTCTTCAAAAGTAATTGTACTCGGGTGTCATATCCGCACTAGTAACTATACACAGCTCCAATCCATATTATTTTACAGTATATCTTTAAATCAGTGGCCGTTTAAACGGTATCTCTGTAACAAATGTTGTGGAATCTGAGAAACTGAATTTTTTTCGGTTCGCTCTGATTTCCATCCTGATACCAGCGAAAGGAAACCTCCGTAATACACTTTAAATTCGTCCGGAACAAATCGATGTTTGGATGCTTTTCCACTGTGGTAGCAAGCTCTTTGTGTGTGTGTGTGTGTGTGTGTGTGTGTGTGTGTGTGTGTGTGTGTGTGTGTGTGTGTGTGTGTGTGTGTGTGTGTGTGTGTGTGTGTGTGTGTGTGTTGTGTGTGTGTGTGTGTGTGTGTGTGTGTGTGTGTGTGTGTGTGTGTGTGTGTGTGTGTGTGTGTGTGTGTGGTCTCTACACATACACACATTTTAAAATCATATCCATCCTTTGAACACACACACACACACACAGCTGGGAGGAGGTAACTGAGACTGAGGGCCGGGGGTAATTCCTGGAAGAGCAAACAAAACAATTGGATTGTTATCTCGTTTTAGATGCAGTGTCCATCCATCTGTCCACACACACACACACACACACACACACACACACACACACACACGGCTCAGAGTTTTTAACGTTCTCCAGCGATGAGATATTTATTGATTATTTTCTTTTAATTTATTTTTTACGATGAGTTATATTTATTGTGGGAGGATGTTTATTAGCTTGTACAGCGTTAAAGAGAGAGAAGAGCTCGATGTCATACTTTTACTGCATAAACACACACACACATTTGGACACACTTCATGTTATAATACGTCCGTGTGCAGGCTGGGAAATGACCACCAACTCTGTAACACTATCCTGTTGTTCAGAAGTGTCATTTTAAATCGACTAGTTTTAGTTTTCACCCTAAATTGTAAACACAAATCCTAATTTAGGTCTTTCTATGTAAGTTACATTGATAGTGATAAGAAGAGTGATACGAAAACTTTGTGTGTTCACTTTTTTGCGTCTGTTCTGGCTCTGGAAAACATTTGAATAGAAACCAGATTCAAAAACAATCCGAAGTAGAGCTTTTATCTGGTCGTTTCCCATCCTGTCCATGTTCAAATCCATCCCTTTTTCCAATCATTTAGGAGTCAAATCAGTTTGATTAATGAGAATCATCCATCGGAGGATTTATTTAAATCTTACGACGACTCTGACTTCCAATCCAGACGATGTTTCAGGAGTTAATAAGCAGAGAGTGGAGCGGGAAGCAAATCAATCGAGCTAAACTAATCTCCCATTGGTTTAAAAAAAGCTTTTTTCTAATCTCCCATTGGAAATACATTTAAGTTGATGCAGGTGACACGTTTTTATTTTGAACAGAAAACCCAAAATACTCTCTTAATTGATAGATTTTGAATTTTAGGATTCTCCAATTAAACCAATGGTGCCAATGATGTTAAAGTGGGCTCCCATTGGATAAAATCGATGCTATGAAGTGGATTTTAAGGATTTTCCCATTTCAAACCAATTCCATAAATGTCCCTTCATCAACAATTAAGAATAGTGCAACTCGCTTTTATAATCAATGGGGGCTTCTTCCTAATGGAAACAAAAACAACCTCCCATTGACTTCCATTGAGCAGTTTGTAAACAACATCTTATATCCATTACAAATCTCTCATTGGAAAATAAGTTTTATGTGATCCTAGCTATAAAATAATGTCCTCACATTGGGTTGGTTTTAACCTTTAAGTAATCCTTCATTTTAAATAATTGGTATTTGCATATACGGGAGACTTGTACAACCACCATGTATCTGAAGGTCACAGTTATCCCTCTGGAAATCAATGAATCTCTCCTTGATTTCATGGGAAATCAGGGTCATTTAATTGTACACCAATGGGAGATTAAACTCAATGCTTTGTGGATTAGTGGTCAGAACATGTTTAGTCAGACGGAGCTTCAGTTATTATATTTAGACTAAGATGACTCCCCGTTAAAAAATCAATCTGATCTCCCATTGGAAATCTATGGGAGTTGACTGACTCCGCCCCCTTCATTAAGCCCCTCCCATCTCTGCAGACTCCTGACACACGATTGGTTGACTGACAGATGAGTCGAGCCGACAGCCAATCACAGCTGGCGTCATTGTATCATAGCAACAGCAAAATCACTGGACTCCCCACGGAGCTGAAACGGGGAGTCGGATGTTTTTATTGTACCATAATATAATTATTATTGTCATTATGATTATTATTCTCAGCCGGTGCTTCTCCGCTGCAGCAGGATCCGGATCCTCTACGTTCAAATTAACTTTATCCGTAAAGCACTTTTCTGAACAAAGTACCGGGTTTTAAATGTCGCCAAACTCCCACGTCTACGTTACGTTTTTAGTTTTGGGTTAGCGAGCCGAGAAGCACCGCTCACACTGGATCTTGTGTCTTAGTTCAGGAAGGGATTGTTCATTTAGGCGGAGCGGCAGGAACGTTTATCGTCGTAAACGTTCATGTATTATAGAAAAACATCTCGACTTCATGACGTCACGATCCGCTTCCCGTCGCGCCGCCGTTTCATTCATGCTGCCTGGAAGAAAGCTGAAAAACGCAGAAACACACATCGCCTTGATGCAGCGCTTTCCAGGATGTAGTCAGGGCCCATTTTTGATACCATTTGCCATTGCCTTGTTTTTTATTTTTTTATTTTTGCTGAGTTAAAAATGTAATGATGATGAATCTTCTTCATGTAATAGCCTGTGTCAGTTTTTATACCATTGCCATTGCCTTCTGCTGAGTTTGTATATTTGTGTGATTTCACTAAAGTGTAATGGAAAAGTTGGACTTGTGTTTTATTGTGTTTTTTACTCATTGGTTTATTTCCGGTAATTAGGAATAGAATCAGAAACAGATGTATTACCAGTTAACACGTACGAGGA